CAGAAGGTTAACCCTTCACTACACCCAACATGAACCCCTAGATATTTCACTTTCTTAACCAATATTAATCCTGTCTCCTTCTGAAACCTCTCTTTCTCAATCTCTGTGAGATTTTTCTCTAACACCTTAGTTTTCAACTTATTCAACTTAAATCCTGCTACTTGACCAAATTCTTGAATTAATTGCAATACTCTTTTAGTACTTGATTCTGGCTCCTGTAATGTCAAAATCAAATCATCAGCAAAAGCTTTCAATTTATACTGTTTAGCTCCGAGTTGTATACCTTTAACCAATTGGTCTTTCCTAATCATGTTAAGCAAAACCTCCAGGACTGATATAAAAAGCAATGGGGAGATTGGGCAGCCCTGTCTTGTTCCTTTCTCAATCTTAAACTCTTCTGTAATTACATTATTCACAATTAACTTAGTTTTTTGCTCTGAGTAAATTGCACCTATACCGTTTTCAAAACCTTGGCCTACCCCCATTCCCTGTAGATTTTTCTTCATAAAACTCCAAGAAATGTTGTCAAAGGCTTTCTCTGCATCCACAAATATTAAAACTGCTTTAGTGTTAATATTAATTTGTAGTTTTTCTAAAATATTAATTATGTTCCTCGTATTCTCTGACAGATGCCTCCCCGGGAGAAAGCCCGCTTGGTCCTTATGAATTTCTCCCACCAATACCTTTTTTAATCTTTTAGCCATGATTTCTGCAAAAATTTTGTAATCCACATTAAGTAAAGATATGGGACGGTAGTTCTTAAGCTGTGTCTTTTCCGCTTCTGTTTTCGGTATAAGTGTAATATAAGCTTCTTTCCACGACTCGGGTGCCTTTCCCCCCCCTAATATTTCATTGCAAACTTCTTTCAAAGGCTGTATTAACCATTCTTTCAGAGATTTATAGTACTTTGCAGTCAAACCATCTGGCCCTGGAGATTTGCCCAATTTCATGTTCTGAATGGCTCCTTCCACCTCTTGGTCAGTTATTATACAATTTAGCATTGATTTACTCTCTTGAGGGATTTTTTGTAATCCATTTGTTCTCAGAAACTGATCAATGTCTATTTCTTTCTGAGTCTCCTGCGTGTATAACTGTTTAAAATACTTCTGAAAACACTTTCTAATCTCCGCAGGGTTCTGTATGTTCTTTCCCTCCACTACCAAATTCGTAATAGTGTTAAGTTTTTGTCTTTTTTTCATTTGCCATGCCAGCAGTTTCCCACACTTATTCGCTGATTCAAATGTCTTTTGTCTCATCTGTTTAATCTTCCATTCTATTTCCTGATTTGTCAATTTCATATATTGTACTTGATATAGCTTTATCTCTTTTAAAATCTCCTGTGATTTCAGTTTCGTCCTCAGTCTCTTTTCTCCATCCTTTATTTTCTCCAAATTTTTTTCCCTTTTCTCATTTTGAACTCTTTTCCTAATTGCATTTTGTTGTATCAGAAACCCTCTCATAACTGCTTTACTTGCATCCCAAATCACTCTTTTTTCGGTCGTGGTGTTCATGTTTATCTCAAAATAGTCTCTCAAGTTTTTCTGGGCCTTTTTAATAATTTCCTCATTCCTAAACAGGGAGTCATTCATCCTCCATCTGAAAGAACCAATTGGCGTTAATGTCATTTCCATCTTCACTGCATTATGATCAGAGCAAATTTTAGGGCAAATTTCCACTTTTTTTTATCTTCGGGCCAGTCCCCTAGTTATCCAAATTTGGTCTATTCTTGTCCATGTCATTTTAGCTTCAGAGAAGAAGGTTCCTTCTCTTTCCAAGGGATTCTTTATTCTCCAAATATCAACAAGATCCATATTGTCAGTCATTTCAAAAAACGTCTTTGGTAGTCTGCCGTCTTTCGTCACCGTTTGTCTTTGGGCTTTATCCATATTCGTAGACACTACTCCATTCATATCTCCCATCAAGATCATGTTGTAATCTAAATAGTCCAGTAAGATTTCATGCAGTTTCTGAAAAAATTCTGATTTTCCCTCATTTGGTGCATAGATGCCTAATGTTAAAAACTTCTGACCTTGTAATTGTATTTCAATTGCAATAAATCTTCCTTGGTCATCTTTGAATAAAAATTTCGGTGACAGGCTTTCCTTTGCATAAAGTACTACTCCTCTTTTTTAACTTTGTCTGATGAGATAAATTCTTCTCCCAATCTTTTAGTCGTCAGAATTTTCCGATGTAGCCTTGTCACGTGCGTTTCTTGTAGACAAATCAAGTCCAAATGTTCTTTTTTTAATATATGAAATACTCTCCCTTTTTTCCCGGGAGTTCAGTCCATTAACATTCCAGCTTAATACTTGCAGTGTCATAATGTACTTACTCTCCTTCTCCCCCAACTTCCCCCAATAGTTTGTCTATATCTGTCGGTGGCGTTGATTCCCTTTTTTTTGTAAACTCTTGTCCAGTGCGGCAGGCTCTTTTCCAAGTCCTTTCTGTAGGTCTTCTTCGTATGTGCTCAGAAACTTATTTTCCTCCACTGATCTTATTTTTATCTTTCTTCCTTTGAAACTAAAAGATAGGCCTTGAGGGAATTCCCACCTGAAGAGGATCTTATTTTTTCTCAACAGGGCCACCAAATCTCCAAAGTCTTGTCTTAAATCCAGAAGATGTTTCGGTATGTCTTTGAAGATTTCCACTTTTGATTGCAGAATTGTCAAGGGTTTCTGGTAGTGCAAACCCAAAATTTTGTCCCTTTCTTCTTTAGATCGGAGGGTGATCAGGCAATCCCTTATTTTAATCTTTTTTCCTCCTTTTCCTAGCCTGAAGGCCCTCACGATCTTAAAATCTTCTTGTTTCAATTCCGATTTCCAAAATTCTGCAAATTCTTGTGTCAAAAATCTGTCAGGGTGCCCGTCTCCAACTCAGGGATAGCTCTAATCCTTAAATTCGTCTGTTTTTCTTTCAGTCCAATCATAGACAGCGTCAACTTATGATCTGCAATTTCCTTCTGTAGGCCTGGGACCTTCTCAGTTTCCAGCTGCTCTACTTTAAATTCCACGGCAGCAGTTTTTTCCTGTGTCGATTTCGATTCCTGCAGTAATTTCTGGATAGATTCTGTGTTGCTATTCACCTTTCCCCCCAAATTATCTAATGTTTCTGTGTTTAAATCAATTTTTTTATTTGCTGTATCAACTTTCTTATTCGTCTCTTCAACCTTCTTATTCGTCTCATCGACCTTCATGCTGAGCTGTAATAAAGTTTCATTAATCTTGGCCAATGCATTCGCTAAAACTTCTTCTGCCATTCCGCTAGACTTAGATTGTGTTGATGTCGTAGGAAGGCCAGCAGATGATTGCCTTCGGTGCCCCCAAGCTTTCTCAGACCTCAAAACTGACGCGTCTAGTTTTTCTTTCCCATCTGCCATAACAATGAAGCAGCCAAGAAGCCAAGGTCACTCTCAGATAGGCTATTCCTGTTTACCAGTGGAAAATTCCCCTTGTTGCAATTTCTAAAAGTCCCCCTAGGTGGACACTGTTACAATAGTCCAAAGAAGTAACTTTCCTTCTTAAAGTAACAAAGGGAACTCCAGCCAGAGAAAGAAAACAGTTCCAATTAAATTACCTTCCAGTTATTTTTTCACCAAAACTGGCCACAATGTATCCACCTTGCTGTCAGCAAATCCTTCTTTTGACAGCTTTTGACAGCTGAGACGTAAGTTTAAAAGCAATAGTCTTAGCGGTAGACTTAGCTCACTGGCAGACCGTTCCCAGGTCTTAGAGGGGTGGATTCAGAAAAGTTCTCAAGTCGGAAAACAGCTCTTTTTGAAACTTATTTCCAGTGCTTTAGCTCTAAAGTCTCTATGCTTTACTCTATTTACAGAACGGGAGGCAGACTTCCTGGTTATACCTCCCGCCGCAGTAGCCAATTAAGTCCTTTTTTTCCCCCTTCCAATGAGCCCAATTCAGTCAGTCTTTTTGAGATAAACCCAATTCAGTCAGTCTTTTAGCGATCCAATTCCACCTACTCACGGGTAATCCTTTAAGATCCAATTGTTCCAGGATAGAAATCAGCGCTCGCCAGCAACGGCAATGCGGCTTCGCTCCGTGAAAGCAGCAATCGACTCACAGCACCGCGCCTCTCCCTCGAAAAAGGCTTCCTCGCGAGTTGGGGGGCGCTGAAGGGTGCCCGCCGAGTCCCCACGTTCGCAGGCTTCACTGCCTGCGATTTCTAAGGGTCCCCGCTCCGCCGCAGCGCACAGGACCTGATTTCCACGGAGCCGATCCCCTCTGAGATCAAAGGGAATCCGCCATTAGCTGATGGCGCTGACCGGAAGTCCCATCAAGTCCATTTTCTCATTCATCAGATCCATCATCTCATGCATCTGTTCCAGCAGGGCACTTGTCTTCCATAAAGCAAGCACCCAATCTTCCTCCCAGCTCATCTTTAGTCAAGGTCAAAAAAGACTGGTCCCACGATCTTAATCTCACAGCTGTTGAATCCTTAAGTATACTGCAGCAACAATTTAACAAGCTCCCTCTAGAGGAGACAATTTCTATTTGTATCCTTTTTTTTTTCTTTAGGCAAGTCCAACAAAGGAAAATTACTTTCATTTTTCAGATATTTTCCAGATATTTTGTTTCTTTAGAATGCAAAAGGCAACATTGGAATCAGTTTATTTCTCATCTTTGGCTATCTGTCAAAGTATTCCATTCACAGTCAATGAACCTCTCAAACTATTTCTGTCTCTGACACCCCGTTCCCAGGTTAGAGACGGTGGAAACTTATCCTTCTTCACTCCCTCTCCTGCAGGGGTTAAACAAAGTTCCCCCCCTTTTCTCCTGCTTCCAAGGGGGTTTCAGTAATTCTACATGAAGGAAATTTAGACTTTTTTGATGGCTTTCCAGGTTTAGCTTACAAAATTTTTGCTTTAGTCTATATACAAAAAGCGGAAGGCGGACTTCCTGTTTTGAACCTTCCCACTTCGATGCCAAATTAAGATATTTCTTGATCCAATTTTCCGTTTTTACTCACGGGTACTTGCTTTAAATCCAATTGTCCACAGGAAAAGTCGGCGCTCTCCGGCGATGGCTGTGCGGCTTCACTCCGTGAAAGTAGCAATCAGTTCGCAGCACCGCGCCGCTCACCCCACTTCACTCCGGCGCCCCAAAATGGGGTTCCCGGTGAGTGGGGGGCGCTCCTGGCGCCCTGCCGAACCCCACGTTCCCAGGCTTCCTCCGCCTGGGATTTCTAGCGGGTCCCCACCTTCGCCGCGGCGGGAAGACCCAGTTTCCACGGAGCCCATTCCTCCAGTCGGAGGAACTCCACCATTCACCGATGGCGCTGACCCGGAAGTCCTGGTTTGGAGTCTTTCAAGACCCGGCAACAAAGAAATGGAGATGGCTGGCAGGAATAGAGGCTTTAGTCACGTAAGTTTCTGCAGAAACATTTGTTAATGGCATGCATTCCAAAAAGTTGCAGATTCTGTTTACATAATTGATTCTTTCCATTTCCAAATATATTTTGCAATGCAATTTTCTCTACTACCAAAGATCTACATATGTACTCCTCCACATCATTATCCAGGTGAATGACTGGTGCTTTTCACTACGTTGGAGAGGCAGGATGCTTCTCTAACCTAGTGAATGCAGTGATTTGGAAGAGGCTGAAGGCATCCTTTTAAATGGTTTGTGCTGCTTAGTTCAGCTTCAAAAGGACTTGCAGGAATGTAAAGCTGAGCAACACTGTCAGCGGGCAGTTTAAGACAGTTCATGGTTCCCTTTAAGTATCTAAAAACTCTTTTCAGCTAGTGTAGAAAGATGTACAGGTCAGAGTAAGATCTCACTCATCCACAGCTTGGTAGTAGAACAGAAAACTGGACTGGCATTTATTACCAAGACTAGATTAACAGAGGGCTGCTTTCAATTTTGCAAGGTCTCCTGGAACAAAATCCAATGACATACATCTCTATTGAGATGCACCCAATACCAACCACGGATCTTTTTTTGGCAAAGGCACTGAGTAAACTTTACAAACCCTGTATGCCAGTGGTTCCCAGTTAGCTAAGTACTGCAGACCCTCACCCAAACATCTCATGGGAGTAAAAAAACCACCTACTACACCATTACTAGTAATATCAATTTAATAGATTCACAGAGAGCTAAAAACGAGGGAGTTATAGAATACATTTATCACAGAATTTTAGTGCTGTGTAGTGGGACTTGATTCAGTATACAATGGACACTGGAGAATGCAAGTGAGAATAAGAGTGAGGCTAGGGTGACATGTTTGTCAACTATTGATAATTGATTAAAGTAAACTTAGAATCATCATGTTAGATTTAGATAAGATATATATGTGAGAGATATCATATCATTTCAATCAACCCTATAGTGACTTTGTGGTTATAGTTTATATTTTGTAATTCATTTGAGGACATAGCTATTTTTGTTTCTGTATAGCGTCATTGCTCTCCTCATGCATGGGGTGGGTGATGGATGTGAGATGAGGTGGATGAAGGTGGATGCAAATCTAGCATTGTTTTAATATGCTCATGTCAGGGAACTGACATCAGAGCGAGAGGCGAAGGGAGGCTCCTGGATGATGCTGGAGAAGGACCCAGCAGCAGGGGAGAAGCGACTCAGTGGAGGGGAAGCATTTAAGCGCAACACCAGGAACAAAAGTGAGCAGATGGGAAAATCGGAGAGAGGGCTCACGGACTCTTCACTGGAACTCAGTGAGGAGGGGACAGGTTCCCCGCTACCCACGCCCACCCTGCGCAGAAGGCTCCCGCGCAGTGAGAGGCGGAGGCGATTGGGTGTCAAACAACTCTTATGTTGGAAGAGATTCAAGAAACGCCCACTGACGGATTCTGCTAGTGACTGAGACAGTCATGATCAGAAGGGGCTGTGCAGTCAGAAAGGTTTAACAAGGCAAATCAGCCTAGAGAGGCACCAGTTTACGCACGAGTAACTCATACTCATTACAGCAATCCGTCAGTCCCTGAAAGTTGCTCGTGCGCAGCAGCAGGCAGGCAGCATCATGAGCAAGCCCGGAGAAGCAGGCACCCAAGGGGAGCAGCTGGAGGGCAAACGCTGGAGGAGAGGAACCGAGATTTGGAGCAGCATGTGGCCATTCTGACGGCACGGCTGGATGAAAGGCGGTCTCAAGATGCACAGGTCAGACCCACCCCCATAGCAAGGAAGGTACCGGGACTGGTGCACAAGTTTGGGGAAGCCGCAAGAATACAGTGCGTTTAGAACGGAAATAGAGTACGCATTGGACTTGCAGCATAACAATTTTGAAGACGACGCGGCGCGGGTGGCATATGTTGTGGGTCACCTGCAGGACGGGGCCAGAGAATGGGTCAGACCCCTTATGGCGACGCAGAATTCCGCCATGCAGGACCTGAGGAAATTCTTCCAAGCGATGGACGCGATGTTTTCCACTGATGTTCAAAAAGTGTGACTAAGCGGGAATTGATGAACTGTAAACAGGGGAGCCAGTCAGTCAGGGACTACTGGTCGCGCTTTGCCATGATAGTTCATCGCCTCGGGTGGGAACTGGGCTCCGAACCCATACAGATGTTATTCGAGGAGGGGTTGTCCCCAACGGTTAAGGATGAACTTTCCCGCGCACCCCGCCCACAGGGGATGGATCAGCTGACCAAGGCTGTGCTTGCGATTGGCGCGCGCCAGGAAGCGCGGGCCCAGGAGAGGCGGGAAGGGAGAGAGCAACGTTGCCATGACTACCGCATTCCTGAAATACCAAGGCAGCCCTCCCCGCCAGCAGAGCCAATGGAAATAGTTGGGCGCGCGCGCGGAAGTTTCAAGCACCACCGCAGGGCGCCAGCCGGAGGGACAGGATTGGAAAACCTCCAAAAGGTGTTACCTTTGCCAGCGGCCAGGGCATTTGCCAGAGCCTGCCCTCAAAGAAAGGCTTGGCAAGGAATGGTGGGAACCGCAGGGGGTGAGGAGGAGGTGGTAAAGGAACAGGAACAGGGAAACGAGAACGCTTGGCTGCCAATCAAGGGGCACAACAGCCAAGCCAGCCACCAGTAAAAGTGCCCCAACCAGACCCCCCCAAGGCGGCAATAGCCATCGAAGTGGTGCTAGAACTCCCGAACGGGCACCCAGTCAAGGTGAAAGGCATGCTGGATTCAGGCAGCTCATGTAATTTCTTCAGCAAGGACTTTGCATTAGAGCACCAGCTCCACTTACTGCCTTTGGATTTTCCCTTGCAAGTGACCACCATTGATGGCAGGGAGCTTCTAGGAGGGGAAGTGACACACCAAACCCCGCCAATGAGAATGAGGGTGTCCAGGCATTCGGAAACCATCGCCTTTCACGTCGCCTCACTAGCAGGACCCCCAATAATATTAGGGATGAGCTGGCTAGCACAACATGATCCAGTGGTGGCGTGGCATCAGAGGACAGTCACCTTTGGATCAGCTTACTGCCTGGAACACTGTCTAGGGGAAGCCCCAAGAATGACCGTGGCCAGGGTGGCTGGGATGGCGGTGGAGCGGAAAGGGGAGGTGCCGCCACAATACGCAGATCTGCGGGAGGTCTTCAGCGAAAAGGAGGCAGATAGACTGCCACCCCATAGGCCCTTTGACTGCCAGATCAACTTGCTTCCGGGGCTCAGCTGCCAGTGGGTAAGCTGTACGCCATGTCAGACAGGGAGATGAAGGAGTTGCGAGAATTTATCGACAAGAACCTGAAAAGAGGCTTCATAAGAGAATCAAAGGCAGTAGGGGGCAGTCCGGTGTTCTTTGTGGACAAAAAGGACACAAATAAACCCAGGCTCGTAGTGGACTATAGAGCTGTCAATTTGGTGTCAGAACCCGTGACCTTCCCAATGCCCAGGATTGACGACATTTTAACGCGAGTGAGGAAAGGCAAAATTTTACCAAGCTGGACCTCAGGGCGCATACAATTTGATCAGGATGAGGGAGGGGACGAATGGAAGACCACAATGTTCACACCCCTAGGTGCCTTTGAGTACTTAGTTATGCCTTTTGGATTACAGTCAGGCTCCGCCTGTTTTCAAGCTTTCATGCACCACGTGTTGGGGTCTCTGCTGTACAAGAACTGCGTAGCCTTCTTGGACGACGTCTTAATTTATTCGGACAATGAGGAACAACATGTTAGAGACGTCAGGGAAGTGTTACAACGACTGCAGAAGCACCAGTTGTGGGTCAAGCTGGAAAAATGTCAGTTTCACGCCAGAGAAGTCGAGTTTCTGGGGTACAAGTTGTCTGACAAAGGCTTAGCGATGGACCCAAGCAAGGTGCAGGCAGTGCTGGAGTGGAAGGCTCCCAAGACACGGAAGGACGTACAGAGGTTCCTAGGGTTCAGCAACTTCTACAGGAAGTTCATCAAGAACTTCGCCCACTTGACAGCGCCAATCACGGATTGTCTCAGTAGCAAAAGAAGTTTGTGTGGACAGAAGAGGCCCAGCAATCCTTCGAAAAACTGAAGAAGGCGTTCGCATCGGAAGAGCAACTCCTGCACGTAGATCTGGAGAAACCCCTGAGGCTAGAGACCGACGCGTCCGACAGAGCCGTGGGGGCGGTCCTTTGCAGCCAGGGAAGGGAAAGCAGGAATGGAAACCGTGTGCCTTTTTCTCCAGAAAACTGAGCAAGTCGGAGCAAAACTATACAGTGTATGACCGCGAACTGCTGGCAATCTACGCGGCCTTTCGTCGTTGGCGTCATCTACTGATGGGGCGCAACAACAGATCCAGGTTTGCACAGATCACAAGAACTTGGAGTACTGGAGAACCGCACGAGTACTCAACCAGAGACAGATTCGATGGGCACAGGAGTTCTCCAAGTTTTTCTTTGAAATCCGCTACGTGCCCGGAGAAGAAAACGTAAGAGCAGACGCTCTCTCGCGTAAACCGGAGTACCTGGAAGGAGAGGGGCCGCCGGAGAAACGACACGTGATCCCCGAGGACCGATGGGTGTGTGTGGGGGAACTTTGGTGGGGAAACGAGAACTAGCCGGGCTGACCAGAAACGACGTGTTCGCGCAAACTAAAATCCGGGAACTACGAGACGGAAGAGGGACCCAAGAAGGGTTTGAGGAGAAGGAAGGGGTACTGTACTATAGGGGAGCGCTGTACGTACCGGGGGAGACCCTGAGGGAAAAGGTACTCAAACAACTCCACGACAACCCCACAGCAGGGCACTTTGGACAGCACAAAACCATGATGCTTGTGACCAGGCAGTTCTGGTGGCCCAGGGTGAGGGAGGATGTACGGGAATATGTACGGGGGTGCGACCGCTGCCAAAGGGCAAAGGGGAGCGGGCTGCCCCACAGGATTGCTGGAACCCTTACCCACGCCGGGAAACCCTGGGAGGTGGTATCCATTGATTTTATGACAGATTTGCCCAAGTCCCGGGGAAAGACAGCAGTCATGGTAGTGGTCGACCTACTGACAAAAATGTGCCACTTTATAGCTTGCTCACATGCTGTAACGGCAGAGGAAACAGCCCGGTTGTTTGTGGAGCACATATTCCGGCTGCATGGCACCCCCTTGAGGGTTATCTCCGACCGCGGAAAACAATTTACTTCCCGGTTCTGGAGGAAACTCATGAGCTTACTGCAGGTGGAAGTGGGTTTCTCGACGGCGAGACACCCAGAGACCAACGGGCAAGCAGAAAGAGCGAACAGTATACTCCAGCAATACCTACGCTGCTATGTCAGCGAGAGGCAGAACGATTGGGTAGAAAAACTAGCGCTGGCTGAATTCGCGTACAACAACGCGGAACACGTGTCCACGGGAATGAGCCCATTCATGGCCAACCATGGGTGTCATCCCAGGGCCTTCCCGGGAGTGGGGAGGAAAGCTGGAGCGTACCCGCCGCAGAGCAGTTTGTGGAGGAAATGGAGGCCCTACACCAGCAACTTAAGATGAACTTGGAGCGGGCCAAGGAAACTTACAAGAGGCAGGCAGACAAGCACCGCAGGGAAGGGGAGACCATACGGGTGGGGGACCGGGTGTGGTTGTCCACCCAAGGGCTACCTTTCAAAGGGGGGTGCAAGAAGTTGCAGCCCAGACGGCTGGGACCTTTTGAGGTAACACAGCAAGTTAATCCCGTGGCATTTAAGCTCAGGTTGCCTGATAGCATGAAAATACACCCGGTTTTCCATAGGTCCCTGCTTTCACCGCATAGGGAAGGGTGGGAATTCCAGGGGCAAGAGGGAGAAGTCACCACACACCCGCAGGTAGAAGAAAGGGAACACCACCACAGGGCCACGGAAATACTGGACTCAAGGTGGCAAGGGCGCCGGGTGGAGTATTTGGTAGCGTGGGAAGGGGAACCCAGGTCCGAAACACGTGGGTCCCCACGGAAGCCGTCGAGGACAGGTATCTGGTGGAGGTATTCCACCACCGGTTCCCGGACAAACCCAAACCCCTGGAGAGATTCTGGGAGGAGCAATTTGGAACCACAGATGAGGAAGAGGGTTTTGAGGGATTTTCTGACTCCGAGGAGGGAGGAGAGGTTTCGGAGGAAGAAGCATCAGACGGGGAAGACCACCCCGTTGGTAGGTGGAAGAGCGATTGGGAAGCGGGTTTCGAACCCACGGAAGATGGTGACAGTTCCTTCCGGGGTTTCCCCGCCTCCTCGGCCGACGAAGGGGACGAGTTGGTCCCACAGGTCGGCCCAGGGGTGGAGGGGATTCTGGGGGAGGTGGATGTCAGGGAACTGACATCAGAGCGAGAGGCGAAGGGAGGCTCCTGGATGATGCTGGAGAAGGACCCAGCAGCAGGGGAGAAGCGACTCAGTGGAGGGGAAGCATTTAAGCGCAACACCAGGAACAAAAGTGAGCAGATGGGAAAATCGGAGAGAGGGCTCACGGACTCTTCACTGGAACTCAGTGAGGAGGGGACAGGTTCCCCGCTACCCACGCCCACCCTGCGCAGAAGGCTCCCGCGCAGTGAGAGGCGGAGGCGATTGGGTGTCAAACAACTCTTATGTTGGAAGAGATTCAAGAAACGCCCACTGACGGATTCTGCTAGTGACTGAGACAGTCATGATCAGAAGGGGCTGTGCAGTCAGAAAGGTTTAACAAGGCAAATCAGCCTAGAGAGGCACCAGTTTACGCACGAGTAACTCATACTCATTACAGCTCAGAACAATCATTACTGTGCTAACTCTGCTATGAGAGAGTAAGGATCTCTCTTCCAAAACTCTTTCTCCAACACCAACAACAGTCCAAAGCAGATCTGAGGAGGATGTGGGTGCATATGGAGAGGAGAGAGGGGCAGTTCCGTTGTAGAAATGGAAATTCTGGCAATAGCAGAAGTACTGCATTGGATACTTCCCAAACGAAATTGACTGAAAGTTCTTGTGTGTACCAAAGAGCCTCCAAAGATGACACCTTCACGTTTTTGTAGTTTCCTATGAGAAATCAGTTCATGTTTAAAAGAAAAGAGACAGTCTTGACCCACAGTTGTTGTTGTTGCTTTCCTTACATGGTTAGAATTCTAAAGCCGGGGAGAAAAATCCATCCCAATTGTGGGTGGACGTTAAGAGAGAAAGAGCTGAACATCTTTTTAATGGTAGAAGGCACAGGGAGCGGGTGAGGAAGTAGACATCCATTCTTGATTGATCAGTGCTGCTCTTTCTTTTCAGGTACTGGATAAAAGGTGAGCCTAAACATCCACACCAAAACCACTGTGCTGCAATAGGCCTTGATTGCGGCTTGAATTGCTGGATGGCATTACACTGTGAGCAACGCATAGGGTACATATGTAAAAAGGTGCCTGATGATGCTTGGCTCTAAGAAGATGAATGAAACTGGATCTCATGATCACTACACAAAAACAAAACCAAGAAATCACCCCACCTCACTGTTTAATGCACAATCCACACTGCCATCTAGATTATAGGACTCTTTGGCATCAGCCCTCAAAAACACCTTGAAAAGACCTTATTCTACAAACTCAAATGTAGATGGCTACAAAAATAAAGAATGGAAGCATCCAGTCATAGCCTGTTTGCTGTTTAATGTATTTATTTGCAATGCATACCAATATTTGTTTCCTTACTTTATGTGTTTGATGCTCCATTGCCTCTTCTGATCTCCATGGTCGCTACCTTACAAGACACATAAGGACAACCATGCATGTCAGGCAATGAGAATGAGGGCCACCTAGCGTTTGGTGTCCCCTTCTAGCAGACTAATCACAAATATAATTTTGGCTTTATCACTGGGTAATTCCAGAGCCATGACTCTCATATAGAGATAACATTGGGCAAAAAACACAATGAACTGCTCTTGATTTCTGTCAGAGGCTTTATGCTGTCAAGCCGGCATAGATAAAACTCCGGGCTCACGGCCAGTTCCAATCTATTTGATTTATTGACAAAGTTCAAAAGTACATCTCCAGTGTTTCAAATCACGTCCGACCCTTCCGGCACAGTTGCCGCGTCTGCTTTCTTTTTCCTTTTTTTTACCCAACATTCAAGTCCCTTTCCTCCATTTCGGGTGGTTGGCCTTCCCCTTCCCCACTACCCTGCCTCCTTCCCCCCCTCCCTGTAGGGGAACAGCAGTGACCTGTGGAACACTGGGTGGATTCTCATGCTCTCTGGCAACCTGAGCTTAAACGCCACCAGATTTATTTGTTGGATAACCTCAAAGGGCCCCACCTTCCTGGGCTTGAGTTTCTTGCAGCCCCCTTTCCAAGGCAATCCTTGCGTGGACAACCACACCTTGTCCCCAACCCTGATAACCTCCCCCGGTCGCCGATGTTTGTCGGCTTCCTTCTTGTATAACTCCTTAGCGTTTTCCAAATTCAACTGCAGCTGTCTGTGGATCGCTTCCATCTCCTCCACAAACTGTTCGGCAGCGGGAACACTCCACGACTCCTCCCCCCCTCCCGGGGAAAGCCCTTGGATGATGCCCATGATTGGCAAAGAACGGAGTCGTCCCAGTGGATACATTCTCCGCGTTATTGTAAGCAAACTCTGCCAGGGCTAGTTTGTCCACTCAATCGTTCTGTTTCTGACTTACATAACACCGCAAATACAGTTGTAAAACAGCATTCACCCTCTCCGCTTGCCCATTGGTCTCGGGGTGCCTAGCCGTCGTAAAGCTCACTTCCACCTGGAGCAGCCCCATGAGTTTGGGCCAAAATCGTGAGGTAAATTGAGCCCCCCGGTCCGAAACCACCTGTGCAGGTATCCCATGCAACCTAAACACATGCTCTACGAACAGCTTGGCTGTTTCTTCCTCCGTCACTGCGTGCGAACAGGGCACGAAATGGCACATTTTGGTCAGGAGATCCACCACCACCATGACCGCGGTCTTACCCTTACATCTGGGCAGATCAGTGATAAAATCCACCCCTACCACCTCCCATGGCTTCCCTGGTGTGGGCAACGGTTCCAGCAACCCCGCTGGTGCCGCCCTTTCCCCTTTGGCCCTCTGGCATGTGTCGCACCCTCGCACATATTCCTTTACTTTTTTTTTTAATGAGGAATTTGGCACCTCCGACATTTCTATGGCAACAACACCTAAAGAACTCTATGTTGCTGACAATCTGGAGATATCCAGCATCAAATTTACATCTGGACCTTTGCCTAATGTTCCAAAAACCTATCAGAATGATCAACCTTCTCTACTGTACTCCTGGCGAGACAGGATGGACAGATCTTCCGAAGCTGGCTCTTTGTTGGCCAGTGATCCACACTTAATAGCGCATACCTCATTAATACTCCCACAGCCACAGATAGAACCAACAATCCTCCAACCAACCCAGGAGGGAGAGGGGGATTGACAGTTAATGAAACACCATGGGACTGTCCTCCCCAGTTGGAGTGTGGTTGGTTGGGTTTTATCTTCTAGGGATACCTACCCCATCAAACCTCCACCTCTTCCCCATACCATTTTGACCCAGGAGCCCTGGCCCAAGGATGACTTGTTATTGAGGGGATGTTACCCCTCTATTGGGGAGGCTAGAATGGGGTCTGGGATTTCCACTATTGAAGGGCTAGGGAGGAATGGCGGTGGGGCTAAATATCTCTATCGGCGAAGGGTTTCGAGATGCAGTGATCCTCGAACCCCTTCCAATCTACGCCCCATCCCAAGGGATGAGGGTAGGGAGAGCAAGGATTACCCACCTCCATCATTGGTCCTGTGCAATGCCAGGTCCATAGGCAACAAAACCGCCACCATGCGTGACTTTTTTGTCTCGCAGGGGATTGACCTGGCTTGCGTGACGGAGACCTGGGTACGGGAAGGCAAAGTAGTCTCCCTACATGAGATAACACCCCCAGGTTTCTCTGTCCTCCATCAATCGCGGACTGTGGGTCAGGGGGGAGGAGTAGCATTGTTAATCCGGGAGGATTGCTCTTTCAGAGCTCTGCCATCACCGGCAATCTCTGGCATTGAATGTGTTGGTCTCGTGTGGGGCACCAAGGAGAGCTTGGCTGTCTGGCTGGTGTAGCGACCACCCAGCACACTGGCAGCCACCCTGTCAGACCTGCTGGAGGTGGTGGCGGGCTGGACCTTGGAGTTCCCAAACCTACTGGTTTTGGGAGACTTCAACATCCATGCCGATGCCGCTCCCTCCTCACAGGCTCTGGACCTACTGACTTCCATGACAACACTAGGGCTCTCCCAGTTTGTTTTGGGCCCCACTCATCAAGCAGGCCACACGCTGGATCTGATCTTTGGGGCTGGCATAGATGTGATCATGCTTCCCCCTGTGGAAGTGCCATGGTCTGATCACTATGCTCTGAAAGCCAAGATTGACTTCCCGCTCCTCCCCTGCTCGGGTGGCGAACCTATTTGGGCTCGTCCGTGAAAACAGATGGATCCTGATAGATTCCGACAAGGCTTGCGGGACCCTGCTCCTCCTGGTGACTCATTAGATGACCTTGTTGAGGACTGGAATAACCGGCTCTTGGCAGCCATTGATAAGATCGCGCCTAAGCGCCCTCTGCGACCCCGTCAAAACCAGGCCCCTTGGTTTACTGAGGAGCTCCGGAAAATGAAGTGGGAGAGGAAACTCTGTAACGAAGCTACAGAAATACTCGATTCGAGGTGGTGGGGTCACCAGGTAGAGTACTTGGTAGCCTGGGAGGGGGAACCTAGGTCTGAAAACACTTGGGTCCCTGCTGAATCAATCACTGACGGGTATCTGGTGGAAGAGTTTCATGGTTTGTTCCCGGATAGGCCTAAACCATTAGCTAGATTCTGGGAGGAAGAATTTGAACCCACAGATGACGAAGGGGACTTTGTGGGGTTTCCTGCCTCCGAAGAGGAGGAAGGGGAGGTGTCCGAGGGAGAAGAATCAGACTGGGAGGTTCAACCAGCTGGAAGAGATCCGAGGGGATGGGAGGCCGGTTTTGAATCCTCAGAAGATGATGACAGTTTTTTCAGGGGGTTCCCCGCATCGTCAGTTGAAGAGAGAGAGGAGGAGGTATCGGAAGATCACGCCGGGGGTGAGGGGGTTCCTGAGGAGGGGGTGGATGTCAGGGAACTGCCATCAGTACTGGAGGGAGAGTGCAAAAGCCAGAGGGATTCCAGAGAGCGTCCAGGGATTGGGAGAAGCAGCCCATCTTCTGGGGAAGGGAATCAGCGTAGCACCAGTGGAGAAGGGGGGCAGGTGGGGAGAGTGGCGAGGCGGTCCCATGACTCCTTGCCTGGGATCAGCGGGGGGAGTAAGGGTCCTCCGTTGCCCACGCCCTCCCTGCACAGAAGGCTTTCGCCCACCTCATAGAAAAGCCCGCAGGAGCCGCGCAGCCTTTAAAGAGCTCGCCGCTCTTGGGGTCTTTTCCCCATGGAGAGAGTACAGACTGACTGGCCGAGTCAGTCCCTTCTCCCTCCTGTGGGCTTTTCCTGGAGATGGGGGAATTCCCCCACCTCCCGCAATAGCATGGAGAAGGTCTGGGAGAAGTGCATAGGCGGCATGCAGCCTGTCCGCTGCTCCCAGAGCTGGGGGGGTTTTCATATTTTTTTCCTTGATTCCCCCCTCTGAAAACTAGGTGCGCCCCATGGTCAGGTGCACCCTATAGAGCGAAAAATACGGTAGTTTTGTTTTGTAGAGACAGAACGCTGCAAACATGCAGCTAGATTCTGAAGGTTTTCTTTTGTTTTTGTAAGCTTCTAAATAAACAGTTGATAGAATAGACGCACTGGTGTTGAGTTATTGAAGACACCATGTTGACACAGACAAAGCCATTTTATGCTGTGTATAAACTCTGCTAAAGTCTGACAACTGAGAAGAGAGTGCAGCGTGCAGTGGAAGCTTGTGGGCGCCATAAAAGTGTCAGAGTGCTCGTAAATGAGACTAATTACAGTGTCGAGGCAGCAGACTCCGTGGGTCAAAGGATTTACGACCCACAAACTTCAACAGCCAACCACTATGGAAGGAAGAAGCCTTGGCCAAAGAAGATAAAGAAGATTGGCAAAATAAATTACTGAACTATGCAGGACAAATTATTACAAAAAAGGGCAACTGTTCAATGAATATTTTTAAAGCTTTGTGTATAGATTCTTACATGAGACAGAATAATTGCCACACACAGAAAGAACAAATATATAATTTGAGTTGCTCACTTGTCCTTTTATAAATCATTTACTGTGTCAACACAACTAGAAGTTATTAATATTGCAGTTGTTGTACAAGGGTCTATTATTATGACCAGAATGTAATGGATATTTAAAAGGTTTTGAAACGCAGAAATAAAACAAATAATCAATCCATCAATTCTGTCAAGATCTGGCAGACTGCTGGCTTAGAAGAGAAGAGTTTGGATTTGATATCACACTTTATCACTACCCGAAGGAGTCTCAAAGCAGCTAACATTCTCCTTTCCCTTCCTCCCCCACAACAAACACTCTGTGAGGTGAGTGGGGCTGAGAGACTTCAGAGAAGTGTGACTAGCCCAAGGTCACCCAGCAGCTGCATGTGGAGGAGCAGAGACACGAACCTGGTTAATTAGGAGTCTACCGCTCTTAACCACTACACCACACTGGCTTAGGTAATCAGCATGTAGTGGTTGTAATTACAAGATTTATTGCATACAGTCATTAACCTCGGAGCCGCACACACTAGCGGCTGCTCCTCAGAGAGTTGACCTTCATCCAGCCCCCCCCCCCCGACTGCTCATCTTGACTGTGGGAAGTCCTGTCCATGACAAATTCTAGGACACGGGGGCCATTTTATCTAAATTATATAATTAGGTATTTGAGTGATTGGTATTAATAATTGCATTATAAATTGGTATTGTTAGACTGAGGCTATTATTGGATTGTAATCGCAAAGTAATAAAAATTATTATTAAAAGAAAAGAAATATCCCTGAACATATGAGAAAATAAAAAATGGGATACAGCAATGCTTGAGTTTCTCACCAAACACAGTAGGTCAATTAGAGGCATTAGAAAAAGACACACCTTCCAAAAATGGAATAAAACAAAGGCCATTAGATGTACTTCTAGATAAGTTTTTAAAGGTTCAAAAATAAAACAGTAATAACTTTTGGAAAAAATAAGTAGTATAACATATCTGAAATAAACATTTTCCTGGGTTTATGCTTTATGTGGCATGCTGATTGTATATGATGAGCAGCCAATCAGGAAATGGTATAGCCTAAAGGGGAGGAGTTCTGGAATGCCTGACATCACAAGGGAGGTGGTTCTGAGCCAGTGGGAGGATGAAACAACCTTAAGAAGAAATTAAAGGAGAGAAAAGACTGTTCCATGACAACACCAAGGTATCCAAACAGAAATAAGTCTGATGGGTGGAATACTTTCCTTACAAGCTATGATATTTGCAGGGTCTCATTCCAGGGCCAAAAGGTCACTAAGAGGGAAAATGATAAGCAGGTTTATAAAACTTCAGATAGGTTTCTCTTTCGAATACTAGAATCCAGTGTCATCCAATGAAAGTCAGTGGTGGTATATTCTAGGGCTGCATCCAGGTGCCCTGCTCTGACTCATGGTTCCAGGTTGTAAATCCAGATCCAGATTATCATCCAGATCATGATCCAAAAAATACAATTCTTGAAAAAACTCATTTACTAGCATATCAAGGGCTGCTAGATCAGATGGCTTTGAAACGGGATTAGACAACAGCACTCTTTTTTCTTGAAGCCACAGCATCAGATGTCAGGCTGCGTCTTGGCAAAAAACACACAAAATGGCACACCTGGAGAACCTGGATAACAGCTTCCCTCTGCTTCTTTTTCAGGACCAACAGATGATCTCCAAAGTCTTGTTAGATTCAAGTGGATTTATATGCGTCCAACTGAGACCGGATCTAGTACTCCATCTTTTCTGATGACCAGGAGGTAGTTGTATAATTAAATGAATATATCTTCCATTAAGGGTGGGGAAGATGTGGCCCTGTGATGGAGGAAGTTGGCACCCAGGAACATCTGAAGACCTCATAGGTCCCACACTATCTATTAAATGGTGAACATCTTACTGGAGTCCTGTAAACTAGATGTCCAGGAGTTAAGGGAGAGGAATAGGATGCAAAATGAGAATGTACTATATTACCTAAAACAATTTTTAAAAATGCCTTGGAATCCATATGGAACATCTTTTTTGGTTTAAAACTGAGATTGATCCAGCAAAAGAAAATGAAAGACATTTCAGTTATATTGGACTCAACAACATCTTTATGTTGGATTGTCTAATACTACTACTACTACTACTATTACTACTACTACTACTACTACTACTACTAATTTTTTATTTATACCCTGCCCTCCCCGGCCAGATCTGGCCTCAGGGCAGCTAACACCAGTAAAATTACAATAAAATGCAGCCTCATTTTAATAGTAGCCCTTAGATCAAAACCATAAGGTGAGGGAAACAAAAGGGTCAGACTGAGTCCAAACCATAGGCCACGTGGAACAGCTCTGTCTTGCAGGCCCTGTGGAAAGATCTCAAATCCCGCAGGGCCCTAGTCTCTTGTGGCAGAGCATTCCAACAAGTCGGGGCCAGTACTGCAGCCCCGTGTAGAGCGAGTTACAATAATCAAGCCTGGAGGTGATTGTCGCATGGATCACTGTGGCCAGATCAGGGCGAGAAAGGTAAGGGACCAACTGCTTAATACGGCAGAGATGGAAAAATGCCACCTTTGCTGTGGCTGCAACCTGCGCCTCCATGGAAAGGGAGGCATTGAAGGTTACACCCAAGCTTTTGACAGAAGGCACTAGCACTAACTGAGCCCTTGCAAAAGATGGGAGTTGGCTCCCCAACCCCATGTCGTCCCAACCCAGCCAGAGGACCTCTGTCTTGAAAGGATTTAACTTCAACCGGCTCCCACGCAGCCATCCAGCCGCAGCTTCCAAGCATCTGGTCAGTGTGTCCAGGGCCGAGTCAGGGCAGCCATCCATCAAAAGATAAAGCTGAGTGTTATCAGCATATTGATGACAACCGAACCCAATGCTCCGGACAATCTAGGCAAGGGGGCACATAAAGATGTTGAAAAGCATTGGTGAAAGGATTGTGCCCTGTGGGACTCCACACACCAAAGAGTGCCATGGCAACAACACCCTCCCTAGCGCCACCCTCTGTACCCGACCTGAGATAAAATAATGTAGCCATTGTTGGACTGTGCCCTGAATCCCCACGTCGGCAAGGCGGTGGTTCAAAAGTTCATGATCAACCATGTTGAAGGCTGCTGACAGATCTAAGAGAATCAGCAGTCCCGACCCGACTGACCATCGCCGCTCTATACCTAACGTGCTCATAGTCTTAATCTCCATTTGTTGTTGTCTCATTCTAGCTTGTTGTTTCACAGACAAGACTGAGAGGATGGGGAAGCCAGCACCCGCAAAGGCTGCAGCGCCTGCAAAGGCTGCAGCTCCAGGAGGAGCAGAAGAACCAGGAACTGGTGGTCTGTATACAGCATAGTCATATGGGATGAGGTGTCTCTTAAAGCAGAGGAATGCACGGGAAAGGGAAGTTGATGGGGAGACAGGTAGAAAGTGGAACCAGACATGTTGTACCAGGGAAGAATCCAGGGAAAAGCCCACGCAGCTCTTTGGGTGCCAGAGATCCACTAAGCCCCATAGAAACCCCAGGATTCAGCCCACTCTTTCCTGCTGGCTGTTGTGTTCCTTTACTGTGTGCAGTCCAGAATGGCTCTACCATTAGGCAGAATGAGGCAGTTGCCTCAGGTAGCAGGTGCTGGGGTGGGTAGAGATGTGTAGACCACACAAGCTGCACTGCACCTCCTCAGTTAGCCTGCTGCCGCAGCAGCAGCATTGAGATAAGAGCCAATGGCCAGCCCAGCTCAGCTTGTGTATGTGGAATTATGTGTACGGAGGGAGTATCTTGTACAGGGGTGCTGGGTATAGGAAGTGCAAGGGGCTTCAGCCATGTAAATGTGTTGAGGCCAGGGTCTCAAGCCCTGCAATATTGAGGGGCTAACATCCCCAACCATCACTGGGCACCCTATGTGTGCCCCCACCCCTGCCTGGGAGACGAGGAGCCAGGAGGGGGCTGGGACAAGCGAGGGGATCTTCACCTTCTCTCCCCAAAACTCCCCGGCAGTCCAGGAGTCGAGAGGGGCCTGGGACAAGTGAGGATGATCTTTGCCTTCATTCCTCCCAGCCTCTGCCTGGTATCCTGGCAGCCGGAGGGGGGCTGGGACGAGCGAGGGCGAAGATCGCCTTCTTTGCTCTGCCTCCTCCTCCCTGCCCTATGCCACACTTATACAATTTTCCACATTTACAAAAAGAAAACAGCCAAATACATTTATTCTTCAACTTCCTTTTCCCCCTTCCAGGGTTCCTTCTAATTATTATCCTCCTGCTACTGCATATTCTAATTACTCCAAATAAATTATACGATATACAATAGACAATATCTTTATTCTCATTGTCCCATGCAGAACAATGAAATTGAAAAACTACATAAAGCTACTACAAAACTACATAGAACTACATAAAAACTACATAAAACTACATAAATACTACACAAAACATTCAAAAACCTCTAAAAACTCTGAAACCCCATTTTAAAATACACTATACTATAGAGACCCCTTATGTTACTCCATTTAAGTATAACTTACTCCATATAAATTATTTCTCACTTTCTCCCAACTTAATTATATGCTGCTGAATTTACTTTAATTCTGCTAGCATTTTTATTTCTTAGTTATCAGAAAAGTTTCCTCCAGCACTTCCTGCTGGATATGGATAATGGAGGATGACAGAGACTGCTTGCTCTGAGCAGCCTGATTGCTGTGAGGATCGAAGAATGGGGCTCAGGCAAAGCACCTTCTCAAAAAGAGCCTGAAGGAGAAGTTCAGGTTCTGAAGGGTCCAGTGGTGTCAAAATATGCTCTCTAGATTCTCCCAAAGCTCCATAGGGAGCTGAAAAGATCCCAGATTGAGCTCAGACACATGGCACAATTGAAGACCCGCAGAAAGCTGCCTCTTGTGCCTCCATTGAAGCAGTGACATCTCCAAACAAAGGAATTTGGACCAATTTGACAAGGCAAGAAAAAGAATTTAAGGTAGTGTCAATAAAACCATTGGTCAGACTAGGTGGCAGAGAGCCCCCAGATGCCGGTGTTGATCTGCATGGAAAAAATATGCAGGGACTGAATTAAGAATGAGAATGAGAAGAAGTACAGTCTAGTGATTATTTTTACAAGCATTCCAGGCGAAGAATTTTGATTAACTTGTGATTTCTCTAAAGCTCTGGATGCAGAATTTTGGTGACTTTATAAATATCTTCCAGCAAGCGGGTCAAATCACAAAGATCTTTAAATGTTTTGGAATGGAAGAGAGGAAAGTGGGACTTTGTGTTTTCCTTTCTTTTCCCTTTTTCCCTTTTAAAAATACATATTTTATATATATATATTTTTCTTTGCCTCCTTTTGATAACCCAAAGGAGATGGACATTGTGAGACTGAATTTCATCTGAATTACTTTGTGGATTGCTGATTTTTTAATTATTATTATTTTTTTGGTAATGCATAAACTAAGGGTTAATTTTTATTTTTATTCACTCTGTGCATTTTTTCAATTTTTTATTGGGATCTGATGGGGTTAGATACTAACTGGTGACAAAGGGTGGAAATATAGTGATATAGTGACACAGTGCAGCCCAAAAACTAATTGCAGGGTCTTTTTTATTTCCTTTTTAAGTATTTCCCTATAATAAAGGAAAGATCACCATCTAGTGACATTATGATATGGCTATGGCTAAAGTCGGCAAGAAACCACCTCCAGGCCCATCACAACACCAAGTCAGAGAAAAGGTTTAATTGTAGAAGGAGACACAAATTTGACATTAGAATTTCAATAGAAATGAGAAAAGAGATGGGGGAGGGTATACAGAGACTAGGACAGAAGGCTGATTTTAATGCGCAGGCAGTCCAAAACTTATCAGCAGAAATTGCAGAACTGTCACATAAAACTTCAGAAATAGAGAAAACAGTACAGGATTTAAAGGTGAAAACATCCAGCTTGGAGGAATCATTTAAGAAAGTAGAAGGGGAGGTAAGAGAAACAAAGAGGAGCAAGAAAGAATGAGGGGGGATGCTGAAGCAATCAAATTGCTTTATGAACAGACTCTGGATGAGATCACAGTTTTGGAAGTACATCTAAAAGTTTTGATTCTTAGTTTGAGATTTGCCAGAAGATACGGCAGTGGAATTAAGTGAAAAAATAATGAAAGAACTTGAGAATTTGATTGAAATGGGTGAAGAAACTGTTAAAGTGGCAGTGGATAGATCTTTTCATGTAAAATCAAGATATGCTAAAGCAAAAAGTCTGTCGGGTGATTGTTTTAAAAATTCAAAGAGATTTAAAGACAGAATAATACAGAAGCACTATCAGAAAAATCTCAGGATGATGACCAGAGAATAATAATTTTGAAAGAAATCCTGATGGGACTACTTCGGAAAGGAGCAAATTACAAATATCTGATGGACACACCGTGTTAAAACAAAATCGCTTTTCATTGGGGAATACCCTGATGGAGTCTCCTTTATATTTAAAGGGTGAAAGTAGAGATGTAGAGATCCCACAGAAGCAGATAAATTCTGGAGAAAATATGGAAAACAATTAGCAGGAGAAAGAGCATTTGGTTTGGAGCCACAACATGAAGAAGAATCAACAGAGGGGGAGAAGAGAGATAAATGAATAAAGGACAAAATGGCATTGGTAATCCTAATGTGGAATGTAAATGGACTCAATAATAAAACAAAAAGGGCAGAGATTGAACATGTGGTAAAGATAAATAATTTTGAACGTGATTTGCTCTCAGGAAATGCATATTGCGATGAAACACAGAAGAATTCTGATCAATAAAAGATTATTGAAAGGACTTGGGGGATCTGGGCGGGATTCTTGGCAGGCCTGGCAGTGTTTGACCCAGGCCTCTATCTCTCCGTCGATCCCCGGCCACCACACATAACTCCTGGCCAGGGCCTTCATTCTTACTACCCCTGGGTGTGTCTCGTGTAGGGCTGTGAGGACCCTTTTGCGGAGGGGCTGGGGAACAACGACCCTGCTTCCCCATAACAGGCACCCCTTGTGGGCCGACAGTTCATGTTTGCGGGTTGTGTAGCCGGCGAATTCTGGCCCGGGGCTGCTGCTGGGCCATCCCCTCCACACCCAGTCCAGGACCCGGGAGATGACCCTATCTTTCTTGGAATGGTGTGCAACTTCTTGTGCCTGAATGGGGCAGTCGGGAAGCAGCTCCAGGCTCATAACCTCTTGTGCAGGTGCTGGGTTGGGGCCTGTTTCCGGTAGTGGTAGCCTGCTGAGGGCGTCTGCATGGCCCATCGCCTTCCCCAGGCGGTGAATCAGTGCATACTGGTAGCTGGCAAGGAAAATTGACCACCTGAGGACGCGAGGAGACAGCACTTGGGGGGTCTGCTTTTTGGGGGCAAACAAGCCAAGCAACGGCTTGTGGTCAGTCACCACGGTGAAGGGCCGCCCGTACAAGAAATCATGGAATGTTTTTACTCCCTTCACGATTGCCAGACCCCCCTTGTCTATTTGCAAGTAGTTCCGCTCGGTTGCGTTGAGTGTCTGGGAAAAGTATGCCACCGGTACCTCTCTTCCATCTGGGAGTTGTTGTCCCAGGACAGCACTAATGCCATAGGGTGAGGTGTCGCATGCTAGCACCACCGGCAGCCTCTCATCGAAGTGTGCCAAGACCGAGTTTGAGACAAGCAAGTCCTTGACTGCCTGGAATGCGGCCTCCTGGCGCTGGCCCCACACCCAAGGGGCCCGCTTGTCCAGGAGTCTGTGTAGGGGCTCCGCTACCGCCGCCTTGTGGGGAAGGAAGGAATGGTAAAGTTCAATAGTCCCAAGAAGGCCTGAAGTTCAGTCTTGCTCTTGGGCGCTGGGGCATCACAAATGGCCCGTACCTTGTCCCCAGTCGGGTGGACCCCTTCTGCGTCCACCATAAATCCCAGAAAGTCCACCTGAGGCACTCCTAGTAGACATTTTTCCCGCTTCACCTTGAGACCCGCCGTCTGGAAACGGTGCAGAATGGTGCAGAGGCGGTCCTCAAACTCCTCTGGTGTGGGCCCGGCAATCAACACATCATTGAAGAAGGGGGTGACGCCAGGAATCCCTTTAAGGAGCGAGTCCATTAGATTCTGGAATATGCCTGGTGCCACACTGACACCGAATTGCAGCCGCTTTACCCTGAACGCTCCTCTGTGCGTCACAATTGTCTGTGCCTCTGCTGTGGCCTCATCTACTGGCAGCTGTTGATATGCTTGGGCCAAGTCCAGCTTGCCAAAATTTTCGACCCAGCCAGGGTGGCAAGGACATGGCTGACCACTGGCACTGGGTATGCATGGGCCGTGAGGGCCTTGTTTATGGTACATTTGTAGTCTGCGCAGATGCGGACCAAACCATTAGGCTTGACGGGTGTGACGATTGGGGTTACCCAGGGGGCATTAGGCACTGGCTCCAGCACTCTTTGCTCCACGAGCCAGTCCAATTCCTCATCTATACGGAGTTTCAGGGCGAACGGGACCCGGCGGGCCTTGAACCTGACCGGTCATACTGCGGGGTCAAGCTGTAGAGCAATGGGGGGGCGTATACTGTCACAATTTCCCATCGAAAACCCCTGGAAATTCCTTGCATACAGTGTCCACGTCCACTTGTAAGCTAGTGTGGTTCACCCCGGTGATGGCTAGCCCCAGTGGTCCAAACCATGCCAATCCCAGTAAGCTAATGTAGGGGCCCTTGACCACAAGCAAGTCCAGTTGCCGTGTCCGCCCTCGGTATTGCACCCTGAAGGTCCCCACCCCCATTGTGGGGACCTTACGTTTCTGGAAGTCCCAGAGGGTGAATGGGGCCGGCCTGAGTTTGGGACCCCAGTAGGACACAGTTTCCTTAAGGTCCTTGCCGAGATTATGGATAGAGTTGAACCCGTGTCAAGCTCCATGCGGCATGGGGCCCCCTCTATCTGTACCTCTACATAAATTTTCTCTATGTTGGGGTGGAGCAAATGGTATACCTGGAAGTCCGTGAGCTCCGTCGAGTTGCCTTGGTGCGTTGGGCCTCGGGACCTGGGGCTCTTGGTCATCTGATGCCTGGCGTCGGGTGGGCCAAGCTCGACACACCCGGGCGATGTGTCCTGGTTTTCTGCACTGCCTGCACTCTGCGTTGCGGAAACGGCAGGTCCTCCTCTCGTGACTTTCCCTGCAGCTTGCGCAGTTCCCTCCTTCTCGTCGAGGCAGCTGTGGTATGTGGGCTGCTTGAGTGCGCTGCTGTACTCGGTGCACCTCCTCCCTGTCAGATCCTGAGTCGTCGGTGAGGTCTTCGTGGTGGACCCTCGGTTGGGATGGCAGGCTCGGCCATGCCTCTTGCGTCGACCTCTCGGCAGCTTCTGTTGCCAGGGTCTCCTCCAGAGCAACCTGGAACGTTAGGTCCTTCTTAGCGTAGAGGCGTCATTGCAGCTTCTCATCCTTCAGGCCACCGATGAGGCGGTCCCGAAGCATGTTCTCCAGCTCTGAGAAGTTGCAGAACCGGGCGGCTTGGCGGAGAGAGGTCACAAACCCAGTTATGGTTTCCCCAGGGGCTTGCCGCTTTGCGTAGAAGGCATTTTGACGAGCCACCACTGAGGGCTGCGGCGAAAAGTGCCCCTTCAGCTGTTCCATTATTGTTTTGTATGGAACAGTAGCGACGTCATCAGGCGCAAGGAGAGCCCGGGTGATTTCAAACGTCTCCTCTCCGCAGACGCTGAAGAATATCGCCCTCTTCTTGGTGTCTTCTTCATCGGTGACCCCTTTGGCTTCTAGGAGGAAGGTGAAACGGGAGGCGTACGCTTCCCAGTCTCCAGATGCTGGGTTGAACGGCGAGAAGCTGCTGTTGGTTGCCATTCTGAGTTCCTTGTGTCCCGGAGCTGAAGCCTGGATACACGGTGCGAGGCAGCGGTGCGGCAGGTGGCGGTGTTGCGGTGCTGTGTGTGGCAGTCAGCTCAGCGGGATCCCACCTTCGTCACCAGTGAAATATACTCAGAGTCGCAAAGTGATTTCATGCTCTTTATTCAGCTCATAGTGGTGAGGAGGAATGAGTGAATGTCCCCTCAAAGTATCTGCTTTATATACATTATTTACACAATGAGACATTACAATACTAACAATATGCATAAATGGCAAAAGTTACGGGAAGAATAAGAAATTGAGATAACAAACTTTTTATAAAGGAATGGAAATGGTTTATTGAATATTTACAGATAAGTTGAAAACAGCTGAAAACATTAGGATTATGATAATAACGTGCAGTTTCATAAGAATATATACAGGTATTTAAAGTAGATAATTAAATGAGCAAGTTAAATAAATTGGGATATGCAGAAGATATTAAAAAATAAATTTAAGGAACCACAGATAGAGGAGAAAGGAAGTCAAACTTTGAAATGTTAAAATGATTGTAAAACTAATGAAATCTATAAACTTGAAAAGTATAGATTAAAACTTTTAAAAAAGAAAAAAGATGGAAAAGTTTCGTCACGCAGCAAGGCATCCTGCCTTGCTTCCTCCATCTCCTTAGCTTCCCAAGGACCCACCCCTGAACCACTGAGTGTCTCTGGCTAATGGCTACCACAGTGTATGAAAATCCTTTTTTCTGGGGTGGCAATGATATGTTGGCTACTGATGGCTAAAGCAGAATTGTCTTTCTTCAAGAATCTGGTTTTCAGAAGTTTGTAACCTTCATGAAATCTCCCACGGGTGAATACATTGTCATATTTCTGATGATCCTCTTTACTACGTTGACACTGCTGCTTTTCCTGCTATGTAAGTACATAATTGGCGTACTTTGCTACTACTGTGTTGGGCTTTGCTTGAATGCCAATAGCATTTCCAAAAAGAGATGGTAGGATCCAGTTTACATTTACCCCATTTGCCCGCTCTCTTTGATATCAGGGAGGGACTTACAGCTGTCACCCACTGAAAGCAATGACACTGTCTTGTTCTCCCTGAATAAGTGAGTTCCAGCATTTGGAACAGAAGCACAGGCTTACACAAGTCCCTGGAACACCCTGGACAATTCCCTTTCCCAGTTGCCATTCTCTGCTCCTTTCCCAACTAATCCTCATTTGCTGGGGGAGAGCCCCCATTCCTGATCCTCGCCACCCTGCCCTCTGCTAGGGCTCCAGTCCCCTGAAGGAAAGTGCTTGGGGAAAACAGGCTGCAGAGGATAAGGCCATGGCCAAAGAGGGTGGGACCAGAGCCTACCTAAATATTGAAATATATGCAGGGCTTTTTTTCAGCTGGAATTCATCAGGACTCAGTTCTGGCCCCTCTCAGGTGGGCGCCATTGCCATTTTAAGAGAAGAAGGGAGGCATTCATGCTGAGTTCCAGCACCTCTTTTTGTAGAAAAATAGCACTGGATAGATGAGCCCTTGACCTATTTGCACACCTAATTCATTTTCAAAGGGCACTCAAAAGTAAGCAAATCTCGAGTGGAAGGAATCAAATGTTCCAAGAATTTGCATATTTAAAGCATGTGGCAGAGCATGAGGCAGCCTGGCAAATGCAAGACTGTAGGACAAAGAGGACAGATGTATCTAGACAACCAAAAAGCTAAAGCTCTCAAAGGAAGGCCAAACCATCTGATGACAGAAGTAACAGGCCAAATTGAAACAGCGGCTGCCCTGCTGGTCTGAAGTCCTACCAAGAGCAGGAAATATTAATAGAAGTCATATTCATGGTTTTGTTGATTTGATTTCTTATCTGCGTTACAAGTCATCAATTTAAATTCAATATTAAAAGCAGTTTGAAACCAAGTATCCCCTCCCCCAGGTAGTCAGACATTTTAATCATTTCTTTTCTACCTACCTCCTCCTTAGATCAAAAGGAAGTAAAAAAAAGAGATGAGTTTCAAATGGCAATGGATATGATTCGGACCTTTGTTGTTGGGCTTGATACAATCCATGAAGACAAGGATGGTAAGCATTTTTTTATCACAGTTTCATTGCTCAGCAGGAAGAAAAGCAGATGGTTGTGATTCTCACATCCCCCCACTAGAAAGGCTGTCCTTCCCCATCAAATTGTAATTCACAATGTTTGTGCTACTGCAAGATTTTAGCACTAGCACAAGGGAACTTTGCCCCCACTTCTCCCTGCATGCCATCACCAAAGCTGCTCTGCAGGGTGGGGGAAACTTCAGAACAGATTGGAGGGAAAGGGGCTGAAGATTGCATTGCACAAGGAGACATTTCTGCACTGACATAATGTCCTCCTTAGAATTATGTGGAATGCAACCCAGTATTCATCAGAAAAAGAGTTTTGGCGCCTTCATTTTCTTAGATCTCACAAAGCATAACAGAAAACTGCAAAGTATTCTTTGTATATTTGGCTTTACTGTGGGACTCGAGGTGGGAATTGTTTTATGACCCAGTGATTCCCAGCAGAAAAGGAGGACATAGGAGAGGAACATTAGAGATACTTCATGAGGCAGTTATAATATGAGAATAGGATAGTGGATTGCATGGGTCTTTGGTCTGATCCAGCTGCAGGATTCTTCTGAGGCTTTTCATTGGTGATTTCAGCCACATAGAATCAAGTCTGTCCTCATATTCATAAGAACCTGATCCTTGAGCTCTGCTTCTTGTTTCAGGCTAGAGTGTTTGAATAGTTTGAAAATGGTTTCTTAATATTTGCAGATTGTTATTTCAGATACTCTTTTGCCTTGAACTATTTCAAATCTTTTAGACTTCGGAATACTTGCTGTAGCACAAAACAAATCAGAGGAAATGCGGTATCTTGCCAACAAAAATGATGAACTACAAAAAGTAATTGGTAAGCTACCCTATGATGCTGAAGACTTGTAGCGCATTGGGAACCTGCCCTGATTCTGCCCCAGCTGAAAGCCCCTCCTCTAGCTGAATACTCTTAGAGCCAGAGCAGAGTGCTGCCCTCCTTTGAATCCAGCCACCCTAGGGAAACATCAGAGATATTCAGTTCAGCTCTCCTGAACTTTTGAATTGACTTAGCCTCTATGGTTAGGAAAGAAAAGATTTTGCCATTCTTTGCTATAACAGAGACAATCAAAACAGGTCAGCTGAAAGACCTGTCCTTTATTATTTTCACTCATGAGAGCCCCGCCTCTGCAGAGACAATTAAAAGAGGTCAGCTGAAAGAGAGAGATTCATGAGCAGCACTTAGAAGGCAACTTCCGCCAACTTGGTCAGAGAGACTGCTGGGCAGTGGGGTGTTTGGTGCAACAGTAAAATCTCTCTCCTGTTTCACAAGCCCATCATCAGAAAGTGTAAAGTGATTATAAAATTGTCTATAAAGCTTTAGATGTGAAAGCAAAGAATGGGAATGAATGCATATTACATCACTTGTACATAAAAAGCAAGCTAAAGATGTTCAGCAAAACCAGGTCTAAATCCTGATTGACATGGATCTAGAAAAGTAGTTTTCTCCAAGAGCATCTGGATCTGGTCCACAACCACCCTCTCAAGAACCTTGCCCAGGAAGGGGAGATTAGCAACCGGCAGGCAGTTACTTAGATTTTCTGAGCACAGGGAAGATTTCTTAAGGCCTGCCTTCAAGGAGGCTGGGACCAGCCCCTCTTGTAAAGAGGCATTAATCACCTTTCTAGTCCAGCCAGCTGTCCCTTCCCTACTAGTTTGTATCAGCCACAAAGGGCAGGGTCCAGTGTGCAAGTGGTTGTCCTGACCAATCCAAGGACCTTGTCCACATTCTTGAACCTTGTTGGATAACTGCCCGGGTCCGGCACGTTTCCCTGAGCCAGAAATCCCGGCCGGCAGCAGAGCAGCAGCGTGTGCTTGATGTGTGAGTGAAGAGAGAGTCATAGAATCATAGAATCATAGAGTTGGAAGAGACCACAAGGGCCATCGAGTCCAACCCCCTGCCAAGCAGGAAACACCATCAGAGCACTCCTGACATATGGTTGTCAAGCCTCTGCTTAAAGACCTCCAAAGAAGGAGACTCCACCACACTCCTTGGCAGCAAATTCCAATGTCAGAACAGCTCTTACTGTCAGGAAGTTCTTCCTAATGTTTAGGTGGAATCTTCTTTCTTGTAGTTTGGATCCATTGCTCTGTGTCCGCTTCTCTGGAGCAGCAGAAAACAACCTTTCTCCCTCCTCTATATGACATCCTTTTATATATTTGAACATGGCTATCATATCACCCCTTAACCTCCTCTTCTCCAGGCTAAACATGCCCAGCTCCCTTAGCCGTTCCTCATAAGGCATCGTTTCCAGGCCTTTGACCATTTTGGTTGCCCTCCTCTGGACCCGTTCCAGTTTGTCAGTGTCCTTCTTGAACTGTGGTGCCCAGAACTGGACACAGTACTCCAGGTGAGGTCTGACCAGAGCAGAATACAGTGGCACTATGACTTCCCTTGATCTAGATGCTATACTCCTATTGATGCAGCCCAGGATTGCATTGGCTTTTTTAGCTGCCGCGTCACACTGTTGGCTCATGTCAAGTTTGTGGTCAACCAAGACTCCTAGATCCTTTTCACATGTACTGCTCTCAAGCCAGGTGTCCCCAACATGTATTTGTGCCTCTCATTTTTTTTGCCCAAGTGCAATACTTTACATTTCTCCCTGTTAAAATTCATCTTGTTTGTTTTGGCCCAGTTCTCTAATCTGTCAAGGTCGTTTTGAAGTGTGATCCTGTTTGTGCCTAATCTAAACAGCTTCATTTACACAGACAGATAAAACAAACAATCCCGTCAGAGACTGGAGCCATAGCATTTATCTCTGACTCTTCTCTGGTGAGAAGTGAAAGTAACTTCACAGGCAAAGAACTCAGCTCCTGGATGTAGGAAGCTCCTCCCCAGATGCAGGACACATAGAGGTTAACCCTATAACTACCAAACCTCACAAACCTTACTGACTGAAACATGCCCAACACAATGGAAACAGACTCTGCTCTGGACATTCTTTGAGATTTGTCTGCTGTAATAGCAGGGTGGGTCAAGATGCCAGGGGATGCAAGCAAATGCTTTGAAAGCAAGTCACAGAAAGCTGCTTTCAGTTCTATCATCTCCTTTGGGCCAGACTGTGGCAGGCCCCACACTACCTGGGAAGGAAAGCTCTGCTGGATAGCACAATGGAGGAAGCAAAGCAAGGCTTCTTTGTATCCTTCACTGCCACTTGGAAGGTTCGAGGATGAACCCTCACCAGTAGTTGAATCCATTCAATCAGATTTTTCCTCCACTTGCATTCAAGCCATCTCCCAACTTCTTTTTTCGCCCTCTCCTCTGCAGTATACTAGGGGGAAAACAGGCTGTATGAAGTGGGAGAGGGTACTCAGGGCCAATTGTGTCCATGGCCCAAGCCAAGGCAGGGGGTCTTCTGGGTAGTTGTGCCCACCTTGTGGCACTCCCTCCCCCCAGATGTCAAGGGGAAAAAACTACTATCTGACTCTCAGAAGACATATGAAGGCAGCCCTGTTCAGGGACGTTTTAAATAGTTGATTGTGTTTTAATTTTTTGGAAGTAGCCCAGAGTGGTTGGGGGGAAACCCAGTCAGATGGGCAGCATATACTTTGTTGTTGTTGTTGTTGTTATTTGGTTGTTCCAGAGATCAGCCAAAACTCAGCAGAAGCACCTGTCAGATCAGCTGGAAAATCCCCCAGAGCCATTTGGAAGCCCACTGGATTTGGAAGCCCACTAGATTCATCCTGTCAGCTCCAGCAGGGAGAATGCTTGGCAGCAAACTGGGTGGTAAACCAGCAGAATCCCTCATCTGTCCCAGTTGCCCAATGCCAGGAACCTACATTCTAGATTCCCCTCCCCCCTCCACAACTTAACAGAGGGCCTGGAAAGAGAAAGAGAATTTTGATAAACCACAACTACTCCCCCTTCCCAACCTTCAAGTCTGCCCTGATTCTGCCCTGAGTATCCAGGTGGAAACAAGTAGGTGAGGTTCTTGACTGTGCTCCCTGTTCCACCTATGCCCACCCAGGTATTTACTGCACCATCAACATGGGTTGAAGAGTTAATGTTTTTCTTGTTTTAAGATTTCTGAGCTTCCCAGATGAATATATGTTATCACGTGGAGACGGAAATGAACTTAATAAAAATAATTGAAATCTGCACAGACATACAAGGTGGTTCCCATTAAATTCCCTATCTTGTTTTCTTTTTCTGATCTTCCTGCATATCTGGCTTGACTCAAAGACGACCTTACTGACGACTTGCAAGAGGGTTGGTTTATATATCAAAGGACAATGTATTTCCTTTCTCGTGACCAAGACTCATGGGCAGATTCCAAAAAAAAATGTGAGAGAGAAGGTGCCCAGCTCATGTCTGTGGAAACAAGGGAAGAACAGGTGAGCATCAAAGCTAAGTATAGGAAAGGTAGGGGCCAAAGGGTAGGAGCCAAAGGGCTCCTATCATCACTATCTATTTAGGAAGGTTACATGTACCTGTATGCAGCCAAGACAGCAATTCCATCAGTCAAGCCAAGGGGTGGGAGGGGCAGGGAGAGCTGCTACCATCTGGGACTCAATAAGGTTTCTTGGAGCTCCTGAGCTCTAATAGAATGAAGCTGGCAGTCAGGAAGGAGATCTTCAAGGAGGAAGAGGAGTAGATACTTCAGAGGCATCTATCACTTGGATTCTCTGTAAATTCTTCCTCTGTTCTTTGCGATGTATTCAGTTGGTGGGGGGGGGAGGCTACCCTCACCATGCTAACCTTCTGGCAGGAGAGTATCATGGAGATGACTCTAGAGGAGCTTGCAAGGTATATCCTTTTCCCAGCGCTTTAGCTCTGGCACAGGGGCTACTGGGCTGCTGCAGGGCACAGACATGGGTGAGATCCCATCATCATGCCATCAAGCATACCACAACCGGACTGATTCCAGTGTCTCTGGAACCAACCATCAAACATGGATGCAGAAATTGGAGTATTTGACACACAGGTCACTGTCCTGCTAGGTGGTTCCATGACCAACTGTTCTCTGGCACAGTCATTTACAGTATCTGGAAATTATAACTCTGTGTCATGACTGGACATATGTAGTCAGTCTCGGTGAGGGCAGGTGAAGTTCCCCTTCACTACAATATTTCCTCTTTGGGATGCTTCCTTGATTCCATCACCATCATCTTCGTCATTCATGATCATCACCATCAGCATCATAATTTTGATCAGGGGGACAATACCACATCCAGTATATGAAATTATTATTGGAGATGGGAATACAATGTATAGTTTTGATCACTTTTCCGCCAAAAATTGGATTGGGTCTTCAAATGTGATACCTTCTCCTTTTAAAATGTGTTTGTTTTATGCCTGTTGAATTTCTGTAAAGGGCTATAGTCTCCCAGAGAAAGGGACATTGTCTTAAAAGATTTTATTTGTTCTTTCTCAACACCCCTACCCTAGTTTTTTATAAACGAGCAAGTACAAAAGCGTAAGAAGTTTTTTTGGTTTGGAGTCTTTAAAGACAAGGCAAAGAAATGGAGATGGCTGGCAGGAATAGAGACTATAGTCACGTAAGTTTCTGCAGAAACATTTGTTAATGGCATGCATTCCAAAAAGTTGCAGATTCTGTTTACATAATTCATTCTTTCCCTTTCCAAATATATTTTGTTATGCAATTTTCTCTACTACCAAAGACCTACATATGTACTCCTCCACATCATTGCCCATTGCCCAGGAAGGCTACTCTTCCTGCTTCTCTAACCTAATGAATGTGGTGATTCGGGAGAGGCTGAAGGCAGGCTTTTAAATGGTTTGTGCTCCTTAGTTCAGCTTCAAAAGGACTTGCAGGAACCTAAAGCTGAGCAACACTGTCAGCTGGCAGTTTAAGACACTTCATGGTTCCCTTTAAGTATCTAACAACTCTTTTCAGCTTGTGTGGATGGATGTACAAGGTCAGAGTAAGATCTCACTCATCCACAGCTTGGTAGTAGAACAGAGAACTGGACTGGCATTTATTACCAAGACTGCATTAACAGAGGGCTGCTTTCATTTTTGCAAGGTCTCCTGGAACAAAATCCAATGACATTCATCTCTATTGATGCACCCAATACCAACCACGAATCCTTTTTGACAAAGGTATTGAGTAAACTTTACAAACAGGCAGTGGGGTTGTATAATACTAGCTGGGAAATTAAACCCTGTATGCCAGTGGTTCACAGTTAGCTAAGTACTGCAGACCCCTTCGTTTTCAAAAGCCACGCCATGGGCCACCGTACCTTTGAACATTTTGATATCTCTGTGGCAGTTTTAGTTATGTGAATGACACCATGGAACCCCTGGGTGGGTGGTCCATGGACCACCAATTGGGAGCCACTACTGTATGTGATCTTAGACTTGATCACCCAAACATCTCGTGGGAGTAAAAAACACCTACTATTACTAGTAATATAAATTTAATAGATTTACAGAGAGCTAAAAATGAGGAAGTTATCACAGAATGAGTTTATCACAAAATTTTAGTGCTGTGTAGTGGGACTTGATTCAGGATACAATGGACACTGGAGAATGCAAGTGACAATAAGAGTGAGGCTACGGTGATACCTTTGTCAATTATGGATAATTGATTAAACTTAGAATCAGCATGTAAGATTTAGATAAGATATATATGTGAGAGATATCATATCATTTCGGACAACTGTATAATGGCTTTGTGGTTATAGATTATATTTTGTATTCCATTTGTAGACATAGCTATGTTTGTTTCTGTATAGTGTCATTGCTATCCTCATGCATGTGGTGGGTGATGGATGTCAGATGAGGTGGATGAAGGCGGATGCAAATCTAACATGGTTTTAATATGCTCAGAACAATCACTACTGTGCTAACTCTGCTACTTGAGAGTAAGGATCTCTCATCACTCACAAGGGTCCAGAGCAGATCTGAGGAGGATGTGGGTGCATATGGAAAGGAGAGAGGGCCAGTTCTGTTGCAGAAATGGAAATCCTGGCAATAGCAGAAGTACTGCATTGGATACTGCCCAAACTAAACTGACTGACAGTTCTTGTGTGTACCACTGAGCCTTCCAAAGTGACACCCTCACTTTTTGTAGTTTCCTATGAGAAAAGAAAAGAGACAATCTTGACCCACAGTTGTTGTTGTTGTTGTTTTCCTTACACGGTTAGAATTCTAAAATCTGGGGAGAAATATCCATCCCAATTGTGGGTGGATGTTAAGAGAGAAAGAGCTGGACATCTTTTTAATGGTAGAAGGCATGGGGAGCACATGAGGAAGTAGACATCCAATCTTGATTGCTCAGTGCTGCTCTTTTCTTTTCAGGTACTGGAAAAAAGATGAGCCTAAAAACGAAGACAGAAACCATTGTGCTGCAGTAGGCCTTGATTGCGAAAAGGATTGCTGGATTGCATTACACTGTGAGCAACGCATAGGGTACATTTGTAAAAAGGTGCCAGATGATGCTTGGCTCTAAGAAGACACTTTAAGATGAACGAAACTGGATCTCATGATCACTACACAAAAACAAAAACAAGAGATCACCCCACCTCACTGTTTTAATGCACAATCCACACTGTCATTTAGATTATGGGTCTGTCTGGCATCAGCCCTCAAAAACACCTTGAAAAGACCTTATTCTGCAAGCTCAAACGTAGATGGCTACGAAAATAAAGAATGGAAGGGTCCAAGCATAGCCTGTTTTCTGTTTAATGTATTTATTTGCAATGCATATCAATATTTGTTTCCTTACTCTGTGTGTTTGATGCCCCATTGCCCCTTCAGATCTCCATCGCCACTGCCTTACAAGGCACATAAGGACAACCATGCATGTCAGGCAATGAGAATGAGGGCCACCTAGCGTTTGGTGTCCCCTTCTTGGCTTTATCACTGGGAAATTCCAGCGCCCTTATTCTCATATAGGGCTAATATTGGGCAACAAACATAGTGAACTGCCCTTGATTTCTTCAGAACTTGGCAGGGGGCTGCTTTCATGGTATTCATGGCTGCAGGGGTGCTAACTTAAATAAAATATTGGAGGTGGAGCAGGTAAGCTCCCCCCTGCATAATTGATCACAAGACAGTGCACACACATCGTTTGAATGGCAATGCCCATGAACTTTGGGGAGGCGGCCCCTAAAATATTTTATGGGGGCCTTTACCTCTTGAAGTTGGCTCAAATGTACAGTGGCCGTCAACTGAGTTAAGTAACCACTTAGACTCTGCTGTCCTGAATCAGACCTTTACAAGGTGTGAATAATAGCTTGGTCTGTGTTGAGGACTAGCACCCCAGGAGTCTAGCCGGGGACCTCTCCTGCCACATCTTGCATGATTGATGGCTGGAAGTGGTTGTGGTTGCTTCAATCTGTCCTGTATACCCAGCCAAGGAAAACTGATATTTTAATTCTTTATTGTCGGGGAATGAACTGAACAGGAAGACTTGGAAGTGTCCACTCAGTCTGTTTGGCTCCTCTCAGAAGAGGAGGGAGAGTGGGAAGGTTCGCCCCCTTGTCTCCAGCAGTTTCAAGAGGAGAAGAAGGCAGAACTGAATTATAGCTGAAGGTAGTGGTGGAGGAGGGGGGAGTGAGAGAGCAGACTGCAGAGATCTCCCTGGAAAGTTTGGAGATTCTCCTTCTCCAAGGGCTCATCACTCACTCTGCATTCAGGTGCAAAGAATGCAGAGGCGTGTGATTCCCGCAATTTTCTGTAGGTACTCAGGATGTTGTTGGAAATGGAAGAGGTGATCTTCAGAGTAGGCAACATCTCCTTTGTGTGGAGACCTGGATTCTTTGTCTTGCAACCAGATGACTGAATAAAAAACATAAATACAAACTTGCTTGTTCTTCTTGTCTTTGATGCTACCAGGAGATGAGAGTGTTTTCCACTCCTAACATTTATTGACAAAAGGATATCATCTTGGTGGTATGTATGATACTTGTGTCTTGTGCCATGGATCCTTGTTCCTAACTCTGAAAGAGGAGGTTGTGGAGGAGTTTCATGAGGGAAGTTCTGAAGCCGGCTTTCAGAACTTCTGGGTGGATTCCATCCTGTCATGTGGCTTTACCACATGCTTGAGAGTTGGAATCATAGGATTGTAGAGTTGGAAGGGACTCAGAGGGTCATCTAGTCCAACCCTCTGCAATGCAGGAATCTCAAACTGAAGCCTCCATGACAGATTGACATCTAACCTCTGCTTAAAAAGCTCCATTAAAGGAGTCCACAACCTCCCGAGGGAGACTGTTCCACTGTCGAACTGCTCTTCGTGTCAGAATGTTATTTCATGTAACTTGAAACCATGGGTTTGTGTCCTTCCCTCTGGAAGTGGTCTCACCTTCCATGTGACAACCCTGGAGGTTTTTGAAGATGGCGATCTTATCTCCTCTTTCCCATACTAAATATTCCCAATTCCCTCAACCAGTCCTCATAAGGCATGATTTCCAGCCCCTTGATCATCTTGGTTGCCCTCCTCTGCGCGCCTTCCAGCTTGTCAACATCCTTCTTAAATTGTGGTGCCCAAAATGGGACACAGCACTCCAGGTGTGGTCTGACCTAGACAAAGTGTAGCACCCTGCTTGTGGTTAACGTTTAGCTGGAATGAAATATTCAACGCAGCAATAGAGAAATTAAAATAATAATTTATTTGTCAGACAAATAAATGAGAGACACAGTGGTATATGGTTACCAAAGCTCTGCCCACTCCATCCCTAATGGTCAGCACTTATATTTCCTCAGCCCAGCCCCCTTGCTCCTCCTTTGGCTGCCTCTGTCCAATCAGCCTGGTTGAAATTCCTATTGGCTGTTTGCTAGAACCAATCATAAAAGATACACCCATTTCCTATTACCTTTTATGGGAGACAAAGAGCTATATTTCCTTCTATCCATAAATGGCAAACAAGTAGCCATATATCTTATATTTGCCTCGACCAGGCACCTTAATTACCAGATCATCTTTGCCCTATTGCCCTATTGCCCTATTCACTCCAAAACAGATGGCTAAAACAGATGGCTCATGGTTTTAAATTGTGTCTTAAACAGAGATCTTGGGTTCACCTTCTCACACACCATCAATGAAATAAGAATCTAACATAAGAATCTAACATTTCTTACTTTCTAAATCCTTTGCATAATTACATTTAAGCCAATATATTTCATACATTAACATAGATAGATTTTTAGAAGGAAAGGAACTTAGTAAAAACAGTTTCAAAAAGAAGCCTCTTCAATTTACAACTCCCTTTCCTAGCCAGCTGCTGTTCCCATTAGCTCTTGCCCTTTTACCTTATGAAAATATGGCTCGAGTCTTCTGTTAAACAATAAATTTTACTATTTACCAACTCTTAATTAGTGTTTTTGCAGCTTGATTGTATTCTGTAATTTGTAGGGTCAATGTAACCTTTGCTCCCAGCCTGTAATTTCCTTTTACAACTTTGAGGTACTCGTCTCCTGCTAATGCTATAAATCAGAGGGGCCCTGTTTAGGAAGATAAACATCTGCCAAAGTACTTAGCCTGCTGCTTTATGCCTGGCATAAAACATACAAACATTTAAAAATATATTTTTTAAGCTCATTTTAAAATGCAGACCTTGATCTGATGCCTCAAAAGTAGAGTGGTACTATTACAGCCCTTGAATGGGACACTAGACTTCTGCTGATGCAGCCTAGAAGAGCATTAGTTCCCCGTCCCCCTGCTGCATCACACTCTTGACTCATGTTAAGCTTGTGGTCTCCTTAGACCCCTAGATCCTAGTAGCCATTTTATTTGTTTTCTTCTTATTATTAAATTTCTTTTCTTCTTTTTTTATATATAAATTTTATTAGTTTTTTTTTTACATATCATTTTCAACAGTAATTAAACATACTTTTACATCTTATTCAAATTTTTGGCTTCCATCAATCCTGTCTGAAAATTTTCCAATCTAATCTCTCAGTATGCATTTCTTATCTTCCCTATTACATTTCAAACGCATAACCTATGTCTCTATCTTTTTCTACTTTGTAACACTACTTATATTTCTCCTTACAAAACATGTTGTAGTCCTATTAGTGTGATTTGTTTATTACAGTTGCTTTTCAAATAATTCATATACTTCTTCCAATCTTCTGTAAATCTCTCTTTTTTTTAAATGATATTTATTAAGAATTTTAAAGTTACAGAAAAAACAAAAAAGAAAAAGAAAAAGAAAAAACAGAAGAAAAACAAACCACAATCAAACAATACAAATTGATAAAAATCAAAATCAAAAAAATAAGAACAAAGCACGTAACACAACACAATCAAAAAACAAAAATAAGCCACAAACATTTAAAAAACAAGTCCAATATTCTCAAATCCTTAACTGTCATTACCTTCTTTCTTTGACCTCCTCACTCCTCCCTTTTTTGGTATCCTGGTTGTTAACTGTCACAGCAAATCCTTTCCATTTTTCATAATATTCTGTCATTACATTACCTTAGTCTATTTTAACCTTATCTTACTATAAAAGATCCTAAAACTTGAAACTTAGATCTTATTTATACCAATTTCTCATAACCATAACATATTCTTACATAATTCTTTTAACATTTTTGCTAAAGCCAGATGATTTCGTTCCAACATTTTTCTAACATTCATCAATTTTATAAAGCAATCCTAATAAAAAAAAAAATTCTTCCAATCTTCATCCAGCGTCTCTTCCTCCTGGTCCCGGGTTTTGTCAATCCTTTCTATCCCATCAATCTAGTGCATTAAACTGGTAATCATATGTCCGAGGCCCTTAAGCCTATTCCATGTCCCTTCCGCGGCTCTTCTTCATATTTATACCTGTACTTTACTTTGTCTCCTGCTCCTTTCACTCGTGGGAACTCTAACTTGACAATGCTTTTGACCCTTCTCGACAAATCAGCCCCTTTTCCATATTCCACACTAAACTCCATGTGGTATTTAAAAGCATGTTTCAAAGTCCCTCCAGAATTAAGAGCCCCCACAACCCCAAACATCTCACGGCCCATTGCCAGACTTGAAAAGTCCAAACATCCCTGCATAGGGGGGTCTATCCAACCCCCCATTTCCAAACCATACCAAACTTTATCTTTCCAAATCTGGCTTTTTCCAAGTTCATTTGTCAGATCCAAGAGCTCATGTTCCCGCTGGGCCACATCTCCCTCCATCTCTGGCACCCGAGGTTCAGCAACATCCTCTTCCCTCATCTGATCTGTCAGAGCACACTCCTGATTTGATTCCTGGGTGGGCTCTATATAGTTTCCCACTAGCTGTCCAAAATTTCTGATCGCAGCAGTTATCAAGTCCATCTTCTCATGTAGCTGTTCCAGTAGGGCACTTGTTTTGCAGAAAGCACGCACCAGAGCTTCTGGATACATTGTTCTGCAAGGTCAGAAGTCTATTCCCACGATCGTAATCTGTTGCAGCTGCAGAGCTCCCCGATTCAGCTTTAGTAACAGTTTCGCAGGCTTCCTCTAGGGGAAGAACTTCTATTTGTTCTTTTCTTTTAAAGGCAGATCTAGCAACAAAGTTTCCTTTTTCAGATATTTTGTCAATATTTGTTCCTTTAAAATGCGAAGGAGAACAATGGAATCACTATGTTTCTCTTCTTTTAACTATCTGTCAAAAACGTTTGTCTCTGGTCAATGAGCTTCCCAAAGAACGTCAGTCCTGACACCCCGCTCCCAGGATCAAGACGGTGGAAAGTTACTTTGCTT